CCTCCTGTAACCCAAATGTCTTAATGCAGTGGAAACTATAGGGTTCCTTACAATGCTTAGGAATGCCAATAAACACATATCTAGCAGCAGGCTGACCTTGGGCAAAGGCCAAATGTGACAGAAGAAAAGAAACAAGAAGTAGAACGAGGAGGACTGATGAGTGCTGGAGCGGAGGGAAGAGGAGCTGCAATCTTATCTGTTCGAAGTCAGAGGCACCCTGTGCAGCTGGGAAGAGGCAATAATATAAACATTTTCACTAAGAGGTTTCCCTCCAATCCTTGAAAGCCCATGTTTGCCCTCTGAATGACCAGAGCTCATATAAAGATAATATTCACGACCAAATCGGTGATTCACTGTAGACATTTAGAGGTTCACTGTAAACATTTGAGCCATGTGACAACCAGGCCTGGGGTGTCAGGGGCCCAGAGTTCCTGATTCGATTTCATGACCCAAAATGAAGTACTGAAACTTACAAATAATTTATAAATCCTATGTCACTTTCTTGTCCAAGATCAAGTTCCTTCAGAGGCTGACAACTAATTAGTGGATTTTGCTTTTAAAAAAAAAAAAGAAAAAATATGTCATGACTTCTTCAACAACCAATAATTATTTCATCTAATTAATCTGAAAATTCAGCATAATTGGCGTGTGAATGGTGCTGTGTTCTAAAGTATAAACACTGCACTCCTCCTTGGAGTGCATTAATGCTTCAGCCAGTACATGAAATATCTCATATCCAGAATACCAAATGCTTGCTACTTCCCACCTGTCTTTCAAATCTCACAAGAACCTCTGTTATTGTCCAACATAACCAGAAACATATAAGAAATGTAATTGTGAGAAACATAGTTCAGCATAGCCAAGTCAATACATTACAAGGCCACCACACCATCCCTAACAAAAAGTAAATGTTTCTAAGTCAACTAATCAGTGCCTGAAAGTAATTGTTTAAAGGCCAAGCTACTTTACAAAGAACACTGAGATATTCACAGGAAACCTCATCCGCTGCTATAAACATATTTGCCTTACATTCATCATTCCCTCTGCCCTCTAGAATAAAAGGATGAAATCTCCCACAAATGCTACATCTGATGTGGATTCTGTAATTTATGCTCTCCCAAGAATCATGCTTTATCACTTAATTTATCATGTCTCTGGCTTGAGCATCTGTTTTTGTTGTTGCTGTTTCATTTTTATTTTTTATTTTTTTTAATTGCCAGAGAAGGCATGCACTTGCCAGAGAGATAGGAATTAGATAAAGGTCTGGATTCATGTCCTAGGAAACTAGACATGGCTAGTGGCTGCCAGGAAGGAAGCAAGATGGTAAAGTCAACATGGTCTCTGGTCTGGATGTTCTACCTGCTCTGGCCGCCTGAGCAGAGGCAGAGAGAAGGGTTTCTACAAGCAAATGTACATGCTCTTATCCTGCTTCTGCAGTGTTTTTTTCTAATTCTTTCATTTTCCAATCCCTTCTACTGCAGCCATAGGATCTTTTTAAGAGAATAGGGCCCCGAGTAGTAAGGCAGAAAGGTGGCTGGCTTCCAGGCTCAATGACACAAACATTGAAGTCTTCATTATCTTTTCATGTGAATCATTATCAGGAGACCCAAACCCGTTGTATTCAAGAGCCATGTGCTTATGAGAACATATGTTTCAACACCTCTGAAGTAAAATCATAATGTATAGATGTGCCACATTAGTCTTCTTTCGAACTGAGGTGGCAAGTAGAATTTATTCCTCTTCTACAAAGAGAAAAAATTGCTCTATGAGACTACTCTTAACATTTCCTAGTCTTATGGTATATATTCTTTCTTTAGGATGATTATCAGATGTTTTAATTTATATTGGGAAAGGCAAGGATGAGTTCAAAATTTTACTAAGGAAATGTTTACAATGAAATTAGGTTTTCCTTTCACCATTGCCCCCAGCTATCCAATTCCCACCTAAATAGCAACCAGCTTCTAATCTATCTTTCAAGTTGGAGGCATTGATGCCTGCATGAACAGACATTATATATGAATAGATTTCTACATACAGTATGGACTCTATCCAGATCAGATTTCCCCATCCTCTTGTCATTTCTGGCTGCTATAACACCATGAAGCACAAAGGCTGGAAGACTCAGTTGGCACTGGCATGGTTTACCTTAGTCTGGCCCATAGTCAGCCCCTCCAGCCCTGTATCTGATGCTTGTGTCTCTTCCACCAGCCAGTAGGTAGCCCATTTTGCTGCCTACTTTCAATTTAACGCAGAGGCAACGAAAACAGGGCAATGTCTTTGTATTTTCTAAATCAAATGCATCTTTTCAACAAAAAGAAAAATGTGCTGTGGAAGAGTTTTAAGAATTGAGGTCTGTTTTGATATATTCAAGTAGAGTAGCAAAGTGGTGAAGGTGACAGATATGTGGAACACAGGTGGTAAAAAGGGAAAAAAATTACAATAAAACTACACATAAAAAAAAAAAAACAGAAAAGAAGAGCAAAAATACATTTCAACCCCCATGATTGTGGGGAGTATAGAAATGCTTATTTTTCATCTCTTTACAATTACTGCCTACTTTCAATTTAACGCAGAGGCAACGAAAACAGGGCAATGTCTTTGTATTTTCTAAATCAAATGCATCTTTTCAACAAAAAGAAAAATGTGCTGTGGAAGAGTTTTAAGAATTGAGGTCTGTTTTGATATATTCAAGTAGAGTAGCAAAGTGGTGAAGGTGACAGATATGTGGAACACAGGTGGTAAAAAGGGAAAAAAATTACAATAAAACTACACATAAAAAAAAAAAAAACAGAAAAGATGAGCAAAAATACATTTCAACCCCCATGATTGTGGGGAGTATAGAAATGCTTATTTTTCATCTCTTTACAATTACCTTGTCCATTTTCTCTTTGTGGCAGTTTGATTGCATCCATTTGCCTTCAGTTGTTCCTTTGTTCATGCAGTTCCTGGCCAGTCCTGCCAGCTTGACAGGCCAGCCTTCACTTGTACAGCATCCCAGTGTGGTTGTCTTGGACCAATGATGGGTTTTCCTCCATCTCTCCCTGGAGCAGTATATGATGGACTTGCTTCCCATGTGCCAGCCCTCCGTGTCTAGAGCCCATTAGATAAAGGAGGATTCCTATTCTTGTTGGGTTGTTGTGCTATAAAGAGGGTAGGGTTGTATACCCCTTTATAAGAGAGAAAAAGGAAGAGAAAGGGAGATAGACAGAGAAAGGTATTTTTGACAGGGTCTTGAAGTGCTGCAGTCCTCCTATCCCAGCCTTCCAATTAGCTAGGATTACAGGTGCACAGAATCATACCCTTCTTGTTCAGGTTGGACCAGAACCATGCAACTTCCAGCTTTCCAAGTGGTCGTGCCATTTGTGGGCCACCAAGGCTGGGCCCTATTTTTGTCTTTTGATAGGGAAATAGTTGGACTTAAAAGGTGTGTGTGTGGGGGGGGGGCAGATATGAATGTAATATGGTTCAAGGAGAGTATTACAAAAATCCCCTATGACTTTTACAAGACCTTGGAACTAAGACTGGAAATGGGGTAAGGAAAGAGGCTCAATCACAAACTTTTCCATTTGAGAATTTCTCAAAACTACTGATTAGAGTTCACCATCATGACTGCTTTCTACTGAGCTCTGTTGACTCCATTTGCCTCTCTGTTTACAGATTCTTGTCTTTTCATATTTACATTGAAGGTTTGGGCCTCAAAGTGTGTGTGTGTGTTAGGGACGGGGAGGAGGTGGGAAGAAAGGTGCTGAATTCAAGAAAAATTTAAAAACAAAAGTAGGGCAGGTCTATCCCACTGACTGAACAATTGGATAAGAAGATCACAGAGGTTACAACAAAGCCTGGATTAGGGGGCTAGTTTTGCCACAGCTGGAAGCTTTGGAGCCTTATTCTCCTAATCTGAGAACTGGGAGTTTCTCTCTCAAAATGACTTTCAACAAGCAAACTTGCTCTCAACTGTTTATAATCTAGTAGGATTGTAACATAGATAATATACCCAATTTAACTGTCTGACATAATCAGGAAACTTTGGATGTTTTCAATGTAAACTCCTGAAAAACACAGGCTTCTCTTTTTCACGTATGCTTGAATTCTTAGCTGTAGAACTGGCTGGTATGAAGGCAGTGTTGAGAAAACTGGTACTACTGTCAGATCAAGCTTTTTTTTTTCTTCTTTTTTTTAGATTTTTGCTCACACACTCGCAGGGAGGAGACAGAGAGAGGGAAAGTGAGAAAGCATTCATCGGGGGAATGGCCACACTGCAATCCCTCTGCTTCATTCTCTTCTCAGGATTTTGGGCATGCATGTACATGCGCAAAAGTGTTTTTCAAGCCATAGGATACAGGACTTGAACCATACAGACAGCAAAGTGCGATCCGGCTGCTTAACCACCATGCTTTGACTGCTCCACTGAACTGTTAGATACTAGTTGTAGCTTCAGTTTGGTACTCTGGTAGAGGGAAGAAATTCAAATTCATTACTTCTCCAAAGTGTTGAACATTATAACATTCCAAGAAGGATCATAGTTGTTTTTTTTTTTTCAAATTTGTTTTTAAAATTCCATCTATTCATTTTCTTTGTGAGAATCTCTCTTGCGGAATCCTCAGATCCTTCCCCAATTCCTTCAGTCAGCCGGGATCATGGACATCAACATGCCCAGTGTGCTCAGGAAGACCAAGGACATGAACCCAGAGCCCTCCCACAGTCTCTAGTACCATAGAGCAGCATGTACCACCGTGGCAGGACCCATAGTTTTTGTATCACCCTCAACACTTGGATATAGCTTCAGTAAGCAAGAACTGAATAAATATTGACAGATCATATAAAAAGATTACTTGAGGGACTGGCAGGTGGCATAGTGGTTAAGGCACCAGATTCTCGCCATGGCTGACTGTGATTCAAGTCTTGGACCTGGTAGCTTGCTTTCTCACTTTTCTACTCTCTGGTTAAAATTAATGATAATGGTGATGAATAAAATAAAAAAATATATACATATATATTTTTAAAATATGGAATGTTTCATGAATTTGTATGTCATCCTTGCACAGGGGCCATGCTAATCTCCTCGGTATTGTTCTAATTTTAGTATATGTGCAACCGAAGCAAGCACAATAAGATAATAATTATTTTTAAAAAGAATTAATTAATTAATTAATTTTAATTTGATCAGAGAGGGACACAGTGAGAGAGAGACAGACAGACAGAAAGTGAGAAAGCAAGCCACCAGGTTCAAGACTCAAACCGTGGTCAGCCATGTGGGAGTCCAGCCGACCACCTTAACACCATACCACCTGTCGGCCCCCTAAAATAATTATTTTTTAAAAAAGATTTCTTAGGAAAAGTAATGTACACTCAGATTACTAAAACGTGTGAATAGATTTAAGTATTCAGACTTATTTTTGCTGTGCTAGTTACCAGTGTTCCTGAGGAAATATGTATCATTATCATGTTTATTTGGAATGAGTCTCTGAACGGAAGCCTTGTGCCCCAAGAACACAATTAACTCCCTGGAAGTGGGACTAGTAAAAGATTAGGTTGGCTTCCTGTAGGATATGTTGAAGCAATTTTTTATATTTAAACACACCTACATATCCCACAAAATACTGCTCGTGTCTTTCTGCCAAAGCACTTTAGGTTTATCTAATTCATTTTTGATTCTGATGGGATTTCCAAGTGCCAAGGAAAGGCAAGAAATAGCTGCACTAAGAAACAGTCCCATGGGTTGGGACCAGCAGATGTAATGGTTACATTGCTGGACTTCCACATAGTTACTGTGGTTGGAGTCTCAGACTAAATGGCTTAAAAAACTCACGCCAAGCATGCGTATATGCATCCCCAAAATCCCAACAGGAGAATGGAGAAGGGATTGCAGCATGGACACCCCCCTGGGAGGTGATTTCTCACTTTCTGTTTCTCTGTCTCTCTAGTGAGTACACATGCCCTATACCAAAAATCTCTCTTAAAAAAAAAAAAAGGCAGCAGCAGTTATCCCATGGGTCATTTGTGTTGGAACTGATCTAATAAGCTTAGATGGTCTGACTCAATAGAGTACATCAGACAGAACTCTTACATAGTCTCAACATTCTGAGGCAGTAATAATCATATTCATATATAAGTAAAATTTTACAAAGTATCGGGACCAGCAGTTAGCGAATGGCTATGTCGCTGGACTCCCACGTAGTCGACCGCGGTTTGCGTCCTGGATCCAGTGGCTTAAAACTCACGCCGGGTGTGTGTATGTGCGTGCCAAAGATCCCAAGAGAAGAACGGAGGAGAAGGGATTGCGGCATGGCTATCCCCCCTAGGGGGTGATTTCTCGCTTTCTGTCTCTGTCTCTCTCTGTCTGTCTGGTGGGTGCATGCGCCCTATAGCAAAAACAAAAACAAAAAATTTTACAAAGTGTGTTCATACATATCCACTGGCTTATGCCTCACTACCTTTTCATACCTTAAATAGAAGTTATAATATTGATAATGACTGGCTTGGGACAATGCAGTGAGTAGGTTGAGGAAGTCAGGTTTTCTAATTATAAACCCTACAATTTTAAGTTTTTAAAAAAGAATTATATTTATTACTTTAAATACAATAAATTAATTATTTAAAAAGAATTATCTTATTTAACTTTATTTATTTAAATTTGATCAGAGAGGGACATAGTGAGAGAGAGACAGAAAGTGAGAAAGCAAGCCACCAGCTCCGGGACTCAAACTACTATCAGCCATGTGGGAGCCCAGCACCCTTAATCACCATGCCACCTGCCGGCCCCTTATTTTTACTTTTTAATTTGACCAGAGAGACAGAGGGAAAGTGAGAAAGCAAGCCGCCAAGTCCAGGACTCTAACCACAGTCGGCCATATGGGAGTCCAGCACCTTAACCATCATGCCACCTGCCGGCCCAAGCATACAGTTTTAACTTTCAGCAGAAGTCATTACTTCCAAATAAAAGCAATTAGACCCTAATTCTGGCACTTTTCAAGCACTCAACAAATATCTGTAAGTGAATGCTGATTGACTGAAGGAAGCAATTGCCATCAATATTTGTAAAAAGGAGTCCTGGGGTGGATCAAGGCATTGGTACCCTGTTGTAAATGTGTTTCTCTCTCTCTCTCTCTCTCTCTCTCAAGAAATAAAAAAGAATCCCAGAGGACTGACTGGTAGCTCAGCTGTTAACAGATCCCAAATGGCTGACCACCACAAAAAACACACCAAGCATGTGTGCATACCTAAAATCCTGAAGAGAAGGTAGAATGTAGGAAGATATATTGGTGTGACCACGGTCCAGTGGGGGTGGTGCTCCCTAAATTTGGGGTTCATCAATTCTCCTTTAGTTAGTTTTTCAAAGAATTATTTTATTTAACTTTATTTTAATTTGACCAGAGAGGGACTAGTCAGAGCTCTCCAGAGAAATGAAACCAGTGGATGTGGATGTAGAGATGAGAGAAAAAGAAAGAGAGAGTGAGAGAGAGAGAGAAAGTGAGAAAGCAAGCTACCAGGTCTGGGACTCAAACCACGGTCGGCTATGTGTGAGTCCAGCGCCCTTAACCATCACGCCACCTGCTGGCCCCAATCAATTCTCTTAAAAAAAAAAAAAAACTTTGACAAAGTTACAGTATTGTTGGGACTAATGTCCACATACACATGATTTGACTGCTTTACCACGCTCAAGCTTATTAAGGAGTTGCAGCAGTACTAAGAATAATAGTGCCACCTAGTGACATTTCTAGTTATCCTTAAAATGACTATGACAATTGTTCTGTTATTAAAAAAACAGTTCACTTAAGAAACTAAATAGAGTGTAATCTGTGATTTTCATTTTTTTATTCAAAAAAATATTTTCTCAAAATTTAGGCATTTGATAAACCTTTTACATCCTTAATTCAGATTTCCCGGTTGACTTTTTCTGTGTCACGATAGAGTACATGTGCACGCATGAGAGAGAGGAGGCAGGGGAACCCTAACAGGGATTGGCCACACAGTGATCCTTTCCCCAAGTCCTTCTACAATAGCTTATGAAGATCACAGACACACGCATGTAACTGGCATGTTTCAAGTCTAATGGGCTGGGGGATCTGAACCACATCAGCCATGTGGCTTCTAGCACTGCTGTTCCTTAAGCTACTGACTGCCACAGAGGCTGGGCTCCCAAATGACTGATTTTTGTTGTTGTTGTTGTCTCAAGAATTATTTATTTATCTTTGGTTATTATTATTTTAATTTGCTATAGGCACATGTGCTCACCAGAGAGAGACAGAGAGGGAAAGTGAAAAAGCAAGTCACCAGGTCCAGGACTTGAACCATGGTTGGCCATGTGGGAATCCAGCACCCTAACCATCACACCACCTGCTGGCCCCCATCCCTGGATGTTTTTATGGGGCCTTTTTACACCAGAGTTTTCAGTAGTTGATATGTCAAAGACTGCTTCGTCTTTATTATTATTATTTGGTTTAATTTACCAGAGGGCATGCGCGCTCCCCAGAGACAGAGAGAAAAAGTGTGAAATGGCCCCATTGTGATCCCTTCTCCTCCACTTCTCCCTCCATTTGGGATTTTGGGCACGCATGCACATGAGCCTGGTGTGTTTCTCGGGCTGCTAGGTTGGGACTTGAGTATGTGGTCAGCCACGTGGGATCCAGCTGCTCCAACCACCTCACCAAGGGCTGGCGCCAAAGAAGATACGTATTTTAAGACATATCAAGTTTGAGATGCAACACTAATATAGTAACTTTTCAGTATAACAATATTAAATACATATGTTTTATGTAAGTCGTCATGATCAGGCTACAGGTATTATTTAATTTGGAAAGTATAGGTTTGATGAGAATTACCCTATCTTGGTTAAAAAAAAAAAAACTCAGAAGCTACTTTAAAAGTTGCGCAATTCAGGTAATGTCTGGAATTCAGTATTTTCACTTGTAAAATGGGATAATAATGCCTATCTTATCCACTTCCTAGAGTTCTGAAAATTAAACACAGTAATAAATGCTTTTAAAATTGCTCTGCGTGGTAAGAATCTAGTGGTGTTATCTCCAATATTCCTTTTACTGGGAGGAGTTTCTGGAGGTGGACTCAAATTATGACCCACTGCTTACTAGTGGTGTAACCTTTTTTGCTCCTCAGTGCTGCAGCTGTAGAACAGGGATAATAAAAGTACCTACCTCATGGCTCAGCCTGGTTGCACACTGGTAGTAAATGAACTGCAGTGCTAGAAGTCATGGCTTCTGCGGGTTTGGATCTCCAGGTCAGCCTGAAACACACTGGTATATGGAGGTACACAAGATCCTGAAGAGTGGGAGGGCTAAGGAAAAGAGATAGTGACATCATGAGACCTGTCTAGGGTGCTTCTCTTTCTCTCGTGTTTGTGCACACACTATTAAGAATGAAATAAACTTAAAATAACAATAATAAAAAACTAAACCTTTCTCCATGTGTTTAGTATACACTAAATACACAGTACACTAAAAAAAAAATTGTTTTGCTATGGGGTGTGCTTGCCAGAGACAGAGAAACAGAGGGAGGGAGAGAGGGAGAGCGAGAAATCACTCCTCAAGGTGAGATGGCCACGCCACAATCCCTTTTCCTCTTAGGATCTTGGATGCATACTTATGTGCCTGGCATGATTTTCAAGCCGCTGGGTCTGGGATTTGAACTGCATCATTGGCCATGTGGGATCCAGCACATTAACCTCCACACCATCTGCTGGCCCGCTTAGTACATTTTTAATATGATTAAAAACACATTCTTGCTGCAATAGTCATAAGGATCAATAATTTACCTAGAAGACCATTACTATGTGGTTCTCCAAAAGAGAAAGATACTACATTAAATAGACAGAGAATTTTCATGATCAGTAATCATATTTATTGGACACCAAAGAGGAACAAGGTCTTGGCCGAGGTGCCTTACAGCAGTAGTGCATTCGTAGATAATATAGATGAACAGAACGATACGTCATGTAAGCATGGGCATTCAAGAAACCACTTTTTTTGCTTATAGTTTTAAAAACCATCCTCCCTCCACAATTTTTCAACTCTGGCTTCAAACAGAATAGAATAAATGCAATTATAATTATGCCAGAGATGGTAATACGGCAGAGCTGGAGGGAAGAAATAGGGGAACACAAGGAGAGGCACCATACACCATCTCCACAACGACCAGAGTCCAAGCTACCCTCAGATCCTGCCCAGGGCACAGCAGCAGCTTCCTAACTGGTCTTGCTTCTACTCCTGCCCCTCCTCTCTAACACAGAAATGACGCTAAGTTCTTAAAGACAAATTGTGTTTCTTCTCTGCTCCGACTTTACGCTGCTCAGCAAGGACCAAGGACCATCGTTACGCCATTGCCATCCTGGTGCAGTTCCAACACTTCTGCCATGTGTGCCTTTGAGCAAACACCCTGATCTTTATTTACATGAGGACTCCTTTTTCACTTAGAACTCAGATTAGCATTACCTCTCAGAGGTCTTTCCAGACCATTCTCGGCCACACATGCTCAGTTCTCCCACAGTGCTAACCCGATCTTGTTAACTGATTGTCTCTCTCTCTCCAGGGTCCTTTTGGCCCTGCTCTCCAGCCACCCCCAACACTAAGAACAGTGCCTTGCACACAACAGGTAGTTAATAAATAGTAGTTTAATGATCAAGAGTATCTTAACTCTTATTTTTTCCTTTATTTTTTTTTAAGGTTTTCCATAGGGTTCATACACTCACCAGAGAGAGAGAGAGAGACAGAGACAGTGAACAAACAAGTGTGAAATCACCCCCCAGGGGGTGGCCACGCCACAATCCTTTCTCCTCCTGGGATTCTGAGCACGCATGTATATATGCCAGGTGTGATTTTCAAGCCATCTGGTCCAGGGCTCGAACTGTGGTTGACCATGTGGGTATCCAGTGCCTTAACCACCATGCCACCTGCTGGCCCCAACCTTTTCTTATACAGCAATTCTACACTTGACTTTGTAACAGTGTATGGTGGCTAAAAGGTAGGACAAAGACCTCGTGGGCCATTAGGATTAGGTAATGTGAAAGCTAGTATGAATTGCACAGCACTGTACTAGATCACTAGAACTGGATCGCTCCCTCATTTTAAAGATAATAAAAAGCAGCCTAAAGTGATAGCAAGTGAATATAGATCTGCCTATTCACAAAGCCATAAAGCACAAATATTTATAAATACACTGATTTAAACAGACAAAATTCCAACCCAACACTTTTGGGAAGGGGAGTGTTAAACAATGTTGGGAAACTACTTAATGTTTTATTTTTCTCCATTTACAAATTTTTCTGGGGGATCAGCAGAGGGTGAAATGGTTGTCACTGGACTCCCACATAGTCGATCATGGTTTGAGTCCAGTCCCAGCGCTTTAAAACTTACACTGGGTGCGTGTGTGTGCATGCCCAAGATCTCAAGAGATTCAAGAATGGAGGAGATGGGATTGTGGTGTGATCACTCCCCGTGGGGGGTGATTTCTCGCTTTCTGTCTGTCTCTCCAGCAAGTGTACAGACCCTATAGCAAAACTCTCTTAAAAAAAAAAAAAAAGATGAAAACAATTTTTCTTCTCACATTATTTGGCCTTGAGGATTTTAAATGCACTTATGACAACCTTGTCTGTTTTTCACTCCTTTTCTATACCACGGTCTATACTACATGAACAGTCTCTAAACATACCACAAAGGGCTTTTAATCGTGTCTTCTATTTTTACTCAGGACAGATTTTTCTGAAATTCTGTTCTAATAATCAGTTACTGCAAGACTATTTTAAACTTCCATAATGACACAACTGTATTATACTGTAACAGAAAAATCTTGCTTCTTTTAGACATTTGGGGCTCTTCAGAGAGACAACACTGTGGTTCCCGCCCTATGAGCTCTGCAGTTAGCCTGAAATTCTGCTTCTCAGTTACTAACAGCTCTCATCAATTACTGAACTACTCTGAGCTCAGTCATCCCACTTGAAATACAGGGCTAATAAAAAAAATGTATCTCACAATATTGTTGGAAGGATTCACTGAAAATTGGATATGTGCGATGTTCCCCACACACACAGTGAACATTCAGTAATGACTATTCTTGTCTTCAGAATTTTGCCTCATCTTAGAATCTTAGTCCAATAAAATGTTTATTTTTGCCAGATAATTCTATATTTGTCATTTAATAGTTTAAACATTTGACTTACTAGAAATGTGGAAAAAAAAAAGGCAAAGATATAGCTAGTTTTTACTGCTTTAGGATATAAAAAATGTACTTGAAAGTTCTCAAGAACACTGTTCTGTGTATGTGGAAAAAAATTTTTACCATGAAATCTGAAACATACGAAGTTGAAAACCTGAAAAAAGGGCTACCCCCAACTACCACTCATTTGTTTAACTTGCCATTATATTCCATTTGAGTCAGCATAATCTTTATTTCAAAATAGCATTTTTATTATATAAAAATGTAAAAATCCAGCAAAACCACAAATATGGATATATTTTCCTGGGCTTTCACATTTGTTGATTTTTATTCGCAACCTCTTTTCAATACAATTTACAACCTCATCCCCATTTCCTGTTTGATTATACAAGTGCTAAGTGGCAGAAAAGTCTGAAATAAATATATCCCAAAAAAAACCCGAAAGAGGCAAAGTTGTGAAACTAAGCTGCATGCAACAGGTTCTGTGAGGGTGGAAGAGATATCTGAGAAACAAAATAGAGAAAGACAACGCGAGGCGAGTGTTTTAGCTGAAGTTCTCTCAGTCATCTTTGTCTTTTGCTCCATGTTTAAGGATGCGTGTGAACTCGATGTAATTGAAATTCCCCTTTTTGTCAATAGGTGCTTCTCGGTACAGCTCGTCCACCTCCTCGTCTGTAAAACGGTCCCCCATTGTGGTCAGCAGCTCCCTCAGGTAGTCCTCCTGAATGGTTCCTGGAAGGCAACAGAAGGGAGTTGTGAATACTTCCTGATACTTCAGTGGTTCATTTCTTTTTTCTTTTTTTAACCATTACTGATTTTTTTAAAGAATCATTTTATTTATTTGTTTGTTTATTTATTTTAATTTGATTAGAGAGGGACAAAATAAGAAAGAGGGAAAGTGAGAAAACATGCCACCATGTCCAGGATCGAACTATGGTCGGCTGTATGGGAGTCCAGTGCCCACACCACCATGCCACTTTCTGGTACCTCAATGGTTCGTTTCTAACGTCAGTCAATCTTACAAGGTATTTATACCTTGTAAGCTCTATCTATAATAGAGCTACACAAACAAAATAAATTATGGAATTAAGGCAATATATACTTACATCATGTCTTACAATTCTTTGAGGTTTTTATTAATATTTAAATCATTATAAAAGTTCATGAATAGGTTATATACTTTCAAATTAATCTTAAACAAATATATATTTTTTAACTTGCCAGAATGTGGACTTGCCAGAGAGAGAGAGAGGAAAGAAAAGTGAGAAAGCATCCCCTGTGGGGCATGGTCATGCCACAATCCCTTCTCCTCTACCTCCCCCTCCTTTTGGGATTTTCAGGCACACATGAATGTTTGCTAGGCATGTTTTGCAAATTGCTGGGTGTGGAATTCAAATTTTGTGCTCAGCCATGAGGGATCCAGCAGTTTAACCACCAGGTCACAGGCTGGCCCTATATAAGTTATTTATTTATTTGTTTATTTTAAGATTTATTTTAAATTTTATTTACTCATTCAGTTATTATTATTATTATTATTTTAATTTTGACCAGAGAGACACACATGGGGCAGGGGGTGGGGCTGACAGGCTGGAAGACTGAAGGAAGGACACTGTGCCATGCATAGAACCTCCGGAGTTTTACAAATAGGACATATTAAAATTACATTCAGTGGCCTGGTCTAATTTTAAAGGACATGAAGTAGCATATAAAAGCTTAGATAAAGTGGGAATATTGGCAGGTATATCAAACTGAAGGACTTAAATTTACTAAAGCTATTTTATTTGTGCAAGTTCTACAGGAAGTTATTTTAAAGATTGGAAGTGCAGTAAACCTGATTAGAGCCATTAAAATTGGATTCCCTTGGGAGAGGGAGGAATGAATAGGGGTGGAGAAGGTAGATTGTTAGGAAATCTGAAGGGGTTGGGAGAAGCCTAACAACCACATCATTTTCCAGGATTTACCTCATCTACCTTTCTTTGGAAGATGCAGCTAAAACTAACAAAAGCCAATTTGGTAAATAAGACATTTAAACAATAAGTATTTTATCATAAAGTTTAATTATTGTTCAGAAAAAATTGAATGAATAACTTTTTCTGAAAAAATATATTGACTCTGTGAAGATTGCAGTTATTGAAAGGAAGGAGAGCCGGTAAGTTACCCTATTTTCTGTTCTGAAAATGACAAAAAGTCCCATTTCCAGTTTGATTATAAAGATACATGTGCCCAAAATGGCTGAGAATAAATACAACAAGAAAGGCAAAAGCTGTAAAGCTAAGGGCATGCAAGAGAAAATCTCAGAAATACCCAGAGTGGCAATAAGGAACGTTTGGCTGGAATTTGAAGTTCTCTCAGTCATCTTTGTCTTTTGCTCCATGTTTAAGGATGCGTGTGAACTCGATGTAATTGAAATTCCCCTTTTTGTCAATAGGTGCTTCTCGGTACAGCTCGTCCACCTCCTCGTCTGTAAAACGGTCCCCCATTGTGGTCAGCAGCTCCCTCAGGTAGTCCTCCTGAATGGTTCCTGGAAGGCAACAGAAGGGAGTTGTGAATACTTCCTGATACTTCAGTGGTTCATTTCTTTTTTCTTTTTTTAACCATTACTGATTTTTTTAAAGAATCATTTTATTTATTTGTTTGTTTATTTATTTTAATTTGATTAGAGAGGGACAAAATAAGAAAGAGGGAAAGTGAGAAAACATGCCACCATGTCCAGGATCGAACTATGGTCGGCTGTATGGGAGTCCAGTGCCCACACCACCATGCCACTTTCTGGTACCTCAATGGTTCGTTTCTAACGTCAGTCAATCTTACAAGGTATTTATACCTTGTAAGCTCTATCTATAATAGAGCTACACAAACAAAATAAATTATGGAATTAAGGCAATATATACTTACATCATGTATTACAATTCTTTGAGGTTTTTATTAATATTTAAATCATTATAAAAGTTCATGAATAGGTTATATACTTTCAAATTAATCTTAAACAAATATATATTTTTTAACTTGCCAGAATGTGGACTTGCCAGAGAGAGAGAGAGGAAAGAAAAGTGAGAAAGCATCCCCTGTGGGGCATGGTCATGCCACAATCCCTTCTCCTCTACCTCCCCCTCCTTTTTGCGGCTATTTGAACAACACGCTGGGTGTAAGTGCATGCATGCCCCAAATCCTGATTTTGACCAGAGAGACACACATGGGGCAGGGGGGGGGGCTGACAGGCTGGCCCTATATAAGTTATTTATTTATTTGTTTATTTTAAGATTTATTTTAAATTTTATTTACTCATTCAGTTATTATTATTATTATTATTTTAATTTTGACCAGAGAGACACACATGGGGCAGGGGGTGGGGCTGACAGGCTGGAAGACTGAAGGAAGGACACTGTGCCATGACCAGACCTGTGGAGCATGCTAGTCTCTGTCCCTCTCTATCATGTGTGTATACTCGTGTTCTATCATAAATAAATTAAAAAATTTAAAAAACAAAAAAGAAAGAAAAGGCAAGCTATGCAGAATAAAAGGCAGTGCTGTCATGATCCAATATGCTTTATAAGATGGTGTAGCTCTGACAGGTAGAGGTAAGGAAGTGAGCATGAGGGTGTCAGGTGGATCTGTGGCTATGTGTGTGGCTAAGCAAAGGGTCAATGGAAGAAACAGAGAAATAAGGCTGAAGAAAGTGAAAAGTGAGAGGAAAAAGAAAATGAATAGCTAGCCTTTACATGCCTTTAAAGAAAGAAGTTTCTCCATAGGTACACTAAAATTAGAAAGAAAATAAAACTAAGCTTGCTTTTCTTTTTTTAGTATTTTTTTTTTTTTTTCTATTGAGCGCATGAGCTTGCTGGAGAGAGACAGAGAGTGAGAGGGAAAGTGAGAAATCACCTCCCAGGGGGAATGGCCATGCCACAGTCCCTTTGTCTTCATTCTCCTGAGATTTTGAGCACACACACCCAGAGTGACTTTCAAACCACCAGGTCTGGGACTCAAACTGTAGTTGGCCATGTACGAGTCCAGTGCCTTAATCATCATGTCACCTGCTGGCCCCAAAACTAAGTTTTTATGGTTTGTTTTAGTTAACTACAATTGGCCTGCCAATATTCCCAGATTCTGTGTCTGTGGTTCAACTAACACTGGGTTGAAAATAGTAAAAGCGAAAAACAAAACAAAACAAAAAAACCACCTAATACAACATAATAATACAGTAAAATAACTCTTTACATAGCATTTCCATTGCTATTAAGAGTGATCTAGAGATGATTTGAAGTATACTGCATAGGTTTTATGCATATACCACATCATTTTAAGTGAGAAACTTTAGCATCCATGTATTGTGGTAGCTGTAGGGGTTTCTAGAACAAATTCCCTGTGGATACCAAGGGAGATTCAATGTCTCCTGTAGTAGTTTGTGCTGTCTAATAAATTCTATTTAACAGACAAAAACTCTCTTTTTGGTTTTCAGGAAGATCAAAACCAAAAGCAAAGATTAATAATATAAACTATGTAGCTTTCTGACCTATATATCTATGTCCTAGACATTCTCAGTCATACTGTCCCATTATAATAGTTTCCCTTCAGCCATTTCTAAAAATAAAAAATAAAAAATCAGTATTTCACAAATTATTTTTCATTTAAGAAATGTTTCATATTCTGGAATGAAGCTGGGTATAAACAAACAGCACTCACCTGTTGCTTCTTCATCAAAACAGGCAAAAGCGTTTCTGATGACATCTTCAGGATCTGTGCCATTTAGCTTCTCCCCAAACATGGTGAGGAACATAGTGAAATTGATGGGGCCTGGAGCCTCATTCATCATGGCATCGAGGTATGCATCAGTGGGATTCTTCCCTATAAGAATTCACATTTTTAACTTCTTTTGTTTCTTCTCTTCTTCTATTTTTTTTTTTAAGAGATTTTTGCTATAAGGCATGTGCACTTGCCGGAGAGACAGAGAGATAGAGAAACAAAGCTAGAAATTACCCCCCAGAGGGGATGGCCATGCCACAATCCTTTCCCCTCTATTCTCTCAGAATTTGGTGTACGCACGCACACGCACCCTGAGTGATTTAAAGCTACCAGGTCTGGGACTTAAACTGCAGTCGGCCATGTGGGAGTCCAGTGACATAACCATTATGTCACCTGCTAGTTCCAACTTCTTTTATTTCTTAATGAGAGGGAGTGATGGGGAAGGAGAAAGGTACCCTGGACAAGGTCTTACCATGTTGTAGTCCTTCTAGTTAGCTAGGACCACAGGCATCTGCCACCATGCCCTGACATCGCCATGTTTAGGTTGAATCAGTAAGAAACTGAACGCAGGCCTCCAACAGCAGTGCCCTACCACTTGTGCCAGTGGCTGGGCCATAGAGCTTAACATTTAAGGACAAAGAACTAATTTCAATAAGTAATTATTGTGCTATTATTATGCTCCCCTACATGTTCTTTTTATTTTTTTTTAAGAGTTTTTTTTTTTTTTTTTTTTTTTTGCGATAGGGTGTGTACACTTGCTGGAAAGAAAGAGACAGAAAATGAGAAATCGCTCCCTCCCAAGGAGGATGGCCACGCCACAATCCCTTCTCCTCCATTCTCTTCTCAGGGTTTTGGGCATGCACACACATGCACCTGGTGTGAGTTCTAAGCCGCCGGGTCTAGAACTTGAACCATGGTCGACTATCTGGGAGTCCAATGATGTAACTATTATCCCATCTGTTGGTCCCTGTGTTTAATCTGACCAGAGAGAGTGAGTGAATGAGAAAGTATGCCGCCAGGTCTGCAACCCAAACCACATTTGACCATGTGGGAGTCCAGCACCTTAACCTCCATGCCACCTGCCGGTTCCTACCCTACATGTTTTAAAATGATACATAACTTGAAACTAATTCTAGAACTAATTTTTCAATCAACTTTCAATAAGTACTTCTTTTTTTGTGAGTGCCATTTGCTATAGGGCGTGTGTGCTCGCCAGAAAGAGAGAGACAGAAAGACAGAAAGTGAGAAATCACCCCCCAGGGGGATGGCCACACAGCAATCCCTTCTCCTCCATTCTTCTCCAGGGATCTTGGCCATACATGCATACATGCCCGGTGTGAGTTTAAGCCACCAGATCCAGGACTCGAACTGCAGTCAACTATATGGGAGTCCAGTGACATAGCCATTATGCTAACTGCTGGTCCCTATGGGACCTTTTCTCCCTTCTTTCTAAGGTCAAAACAAATAACAAAATCACACAAGGAATAAAACATTAATACCCATATGCGCAAAATAACGAATGATTGCTTATGTTTATTTCATTTTTATTATTTTTTAAAGAATTATTTTAACTTTGTTTATTTTTATTTGACCAGAGAGGGACAGAGTGAGAGTGAGAAATAGAAAGAGAAAGTCAGCAAGCAAGTCACCAAGTCTGAGACTCAAACCACAGTCGGCCATGTGGGAGCCAAGTACCCTTAACCCCCATACCACCTGCCAGCCCCGTTTATGTTTACTTTAAATCTTGTATCTTTTTTTTTTTTTTAAGTTTTAAAAAATAATTATTCATTTCTCCCACGAGCAAGCGAGAGAGCATCAACACTCCCAACAGGGTCTTGATAGCATGCTCCTCCCCCAGCTTCAGCCAGTCCTGTATCAAGGGCATGCACATGCCCTGCAAACTCAGGGAGGTCTCTTTATGTGAATCTAGAACATTTCTAAATGGGATAGCTTTATAGAGCATTGAGTTTCACCAGTGTGCCATTGTCTAGCCCCCTAAATTTTGTACCTTTAGAAGTTAATTATAAAACAATTAGATGTAATATTGTTTAAGTCCCCTTGCCTTGTTCACTTTTCCAGTATCACTGCCTTTCCTCCCTAGGGACAATCATTATTACTTATTACTATCATTTCTTGTTTATAACCTGTTCTCAACCTTTATTAAATATATATCATTAGCTATATTTGTGATTTAAAATTCTGACATGTTGCTACCTAGTCATCCCTTGGCTCCTACCTAACAGACCTAAAGTATTTA